CCGAACCTTATCGGGTATAACGGCCATTTGGTATGCCAAGCTCGAAGATTTTGTGAAGAAAAATTGGGAGGAAATGGCCAAGGCCTTCATAGCGTAGTGCTCCTATAATACTCCGATCGAGGTCACTACTCGTGATCTTGAAGTAACTCACCAGGAGCCGAATGAGGGCTTCTCGGATTTTGTGACCCGTTGGAGGGCTAAGGCCTCTATGATGACTATCCGGCCTTTTGAAAAGGACCAGATCAGAATGGTGGTCCGTAACTTGCAAGGAAGATTATTACAGAAAATGATAGTCTTACCCTTGTTTACGTTTGCTAAGCTTCATGAAATAGGGGTTCAAATTGAGGATACGATGAAGCAAGGGCTGATAGACCATGAGAAGGAACAGCCCAAAAGGCCCTTTACACGCAGCTCTAATGCAGCCACGACTAGTGGCACCTCTGCACGGCCTTCGAATTTGAGCACGGTCACCACCACGCCCAAAACTGCCAACCCGTTCGCCAACACATCCAACACAACTTCACAAACCTCAAATCATCAGGCCCGAGGCCAAAGGTCTTCACCCCACTTTACATGTCCTTATCCAAAGCCTAGGGGTTCTGATCAGAAAAGGGAATCTTAGGCCGTTAGAATAATGACCACTGCCCGATCCTCTCCCACCTAAACACAAACCGGCCAAATATTGTGCTTTTCACCAGCTGCATGGTCATGATACTGATTAGTGCTTCAGAATGCGTCATGAGATTCAAGATCTCATAGACAATAAGGTGATAGCACCTCCTCAAAAACCCAACGTCACTACAAATCCTCTCCCACCACATAATCAAGCCCTTCCACCCCGGCATATAAACCTCATCCATACACTGGTCGTCCCTTATGAGCCCAGTATATATATCACCCCTTCCCACCTACCTAAACCGACGGTGTTTATCCCTGAGAGCACAGACTTGTGCATGATGAACACGTCAACAATCCAAACTAAACCCGTAGTGGTGACAGTGGAAGATGAAGGGAGGTCAGCCTCAGTGGAGAATGTCAGTCCGTTGCCCGAGGGCTCTGAGGACTTATATGATGGGGTGTACAACCTAAGCTGCTATATTGTGCCAATCAATCAAGCTAAGCCGGAAGTGGTGTTGCCGACTGGGATGGAGGTCAGTGTAGTTCGTGAAGATGGCCCCAGTCAGGGGTTAGATGATCTAGCCGACCTAGAGGAGGATATAGACAATTTGCAGTTCTTTGATGAGCAAGATCAAGGGGACGTGCATATTGATTGGTTTGATCTGAATGGTTCAACAGAAAATTCTGGGTGGCTAAGTGATGAACCCAATATAGACGAGGGAACTGAACCGAAGCTGGAAGAACAGAAAGAGGGAACCACTGCAATGGCTAGAACGATCGACGGAAAGGGTAAACTACCGGAAAACGCCGGTACAGAACAAGTGGCTCAGGAGCTAGGCATAGTTAGTACTTACCTACAGAGCAAGAAGCCGCACTAAGGTGCCTTGAACTAGAAGTGGATCAAAACAAACATAAGGCTAGAAAGGCCCAAGACCCTACGGGGGAAATCTGTGATGAGAAGACGACCCGAACAAAGCTGGACAATTGCTTATCGGCTACCGAAGGAATTTGGTGGGATGACGACGACCTGCACTTGGCCCATCTAATGAGGATTGGGGTGAGGGCCTTCCTGACAACACCTGGTATGTGGAAGAGATCAATCACATGACAAGAAGTGGCTGATATTTCAAACCACCGCATTTGGACCAACCTAAGGCATTTGGGAAGGACAAAGAAGCTGAGAAACAAAAAGAAAAGAAGTTAGAGGAAGAAGCTGTGCTGAAACAGTTGAAGAAGATTTAAGCTGACATATCTATCTGAGGTCTGCTTATGGCTTCGCGAGTGCACAGACAGGCTGTACTGTCGGCGATGGATAAAGCCAAGTTGTCCATTGAGACTACCCCAGAACAACTGGTGGGATTAGTCTTCTCGGGAGGCGTTGCGCCAACTTTGACCTTTTCTAACAAGAAGCTGCCATTGGAAGGCTCTGCACACAACAAGCCTCTATACATATCAGTAGAGTCCCGAGAAAAATGGATACTAGTGGTGTTAGTCGACACCGGCTCAGCGATCAGTGTCTGCCCTTGTCGCACGGCTTATGCTATTAGTCTAAAACTGGCTGATTTTGTACCTACGACCTAGGTGATCCGGGCGTATGACAACACAAGCAGAGAGGTGATGGGAATAGTACAGATTAGAGTGCAGGTTGGACCCGCTCAACTAGATATTGAATTTCACGTCCTAGATGTTCTAGCCACTTTCAACCTACTACTTGGGCAACTGTGGCTGCACCAAGTGAAAGTTATCTCTTCCACTCTCCACCAAATGCTAAAGTACCCCCAAGGGAAATGGGTAGCTATAGTCTTTGAGAATTCATCTATACATCCTCCGCCAGCGATCACTTACACATGTGCTAGAAATTGTGCATGGCGAAAACGATGTTTTCATTTCAGGGTTAACCTTGGTTAAGGCCCGGGTAGTGCAGGATATCTTGGCTGTTGATAAGAGCCTATATCTCAGTGCCCAATCTGTATGTATCTCATGAATAAGCTACAACACATGCCCAGAATGAGATTAGGAAGAAGTGGCTGAAAAGGCATCACTGCGTTGGCCGATGTGCCACATAACCCATATGCCTTTGGTCTTGGCTATATGCCCACTAAAAAGCACTGGATAAGGAAAATGAAAGAGATGGCTGGAAGAGCCAGAGCTAAGCAAAATGGGAAGTGCTATGAACTTGTACACCAACCTATCCGGGGAACCGTGAATGGCTATTTTGTTTGGGAGGGTGAAGACTTCCCATTCTGTGGTTTCCCCGAACCCTGGTTCAACTCTGAGAAGCAGCGAGTTCCCGCCTTTGAGATTTTCTTCGACTTGCAGCTGCAAGAGAGTAACACAGAGGAACAAACTGAACTAACTGGCGAGGCTACAAAGAGCACAAAAAATGATTCCAACAGCAATGAACTTGAAGTAGGAGTAGCATTGGCATGTCTCCTTTCGGATCCTCAGATCAACTCAGAGAACTTGGGGATAACCTGACCGTTTCCATGATCGGGTGGGAACCCTTCCAGTGGTATCTTGGATGCATTTGACGTACCGTCCCTCATTTGGTAGTTAGAGAAAGGCTTCCTGTCCAGTAGTTCTGAGTCAGGTAGTGAGCCAGAATCTGATTCCACAGAGTCTATGGATTCGGAATCAGATTCTAGTTCCTCTGAGTCGGAGTCTGGTATTTCTGGGGTTGATAACCCGAATGTCGAGGTTTTGTACAGGTTGTCTTTTTCCTTTTTTTTTTGAGTCGATTGTAATCGAGGAATTGGATCAGCTTGACCTTGTGAATAAGAATGCCACTGCAGATTCTGAGTACTTCTCTGTGCCTCTTGTATATTGCATTGATCATGATTTTCAATATTTTGATGAAAATGATGAAGAAGAAACTCCTCTGGCTTTGAAACATTTGATTGATTAAGAGGATGAGAGGTTTGTATAACCCTTCGTTGATGAAATCATTTCAATTAATGTAGGTACTGACAAGGATCCGCGTCTGGTCCAGATCGGGTCCACATTGTCTTCGGAGGAGTGCGAATGCTTAGTTACTTTATTAAAAAAATTCAAAGATGTTTTCGCGTGGTCCTACGAAGACATGCCTAGAATCAATACTGAGTTTGTACAACATCGAATCCCTCTTAACCTCGAGGCCCGACCCGTCAAGAAGAAGCTGCGGAGAATACGCCTGGATTAGGCTTTGAAGATTAAAGAGGAGGCCACCAAGCAGATAGTGGCAGGGTTCTTGCTAATATCTGACTATCCAACTTGGTTGGCCAACATTGTTCCAGTGCCAAAAAAAGATGGCAGAATTCGGGTGTGTGTGGGTTTTAGAGATCTGAACAGAGCCAATCCGAAGGATGACTTTCCTTTACCGTACATATTAGTGGACTTCACCTCAGGCCATGCGTTGCTCTCCTTCATGGATGGATTTTCTCGGGTATAACCAGATTCTGATGGCACCCGAAGATAGAGAGAAGGCCACATTCACTACACTATGGGAAACCTACTGCTACAGGGTGATGCCGTTTGTGCTGAAGAATGCCGGGGCTACCTATCAAAAGGCTGCAACCACAATTCTACATGACATGATCCATAAAGAGGTTGAGATGTATGTAGACGACATGATTGTCAAGTCTAAGGAAAGAGAGGGCCACTACACGGCCTTGAAGAAATTCTTTCAACAGATCAGAGAGTACAGATTGAGGTTGAATCTACAGAAAAAATGCTGGTTTCTTGATCACATAGAGGGGCATCGAGGTAGATCCTTCCAATATTAAGGCCATCCTAGAAATGCCACTACCAAGGACTGAAAAGGAGGTGCAAGACTTTCTAGGTAAAGTGCAATTCATAAGACGGTTTATTTCAAAATTAACCTTGACTTGTCACTACAACAAAATTGAGTTTTTACGGCTCCACATTAACGACATAGAGTAAATGCAAGTCATAGTTTCTCACTTTTACGACTTACTTTTTTTGCACGTCGTAAATAATTTCCCTACCACGACGTGTCTATTGCATAGGCCGTAAATGCTAATATGAAGATTTTTTTACGACTTGCAATGTTAGCCGTAAATAATAAAACTTTCTATAACGTGCATATGGCATGCCGCTAATACATTAATTATATACGATGCGTGTGTACTCGCTGTTAAAAATATTAAATATTTCATAGCGCACAAAAAAATTACCCGTTAAAAATTACACTTTTCACAATGCACGAAGGCCTATCCCGTCGTTTAAAATATTAAACTTTCCACGACTTGCGATTGCTGTCGTGAAAGGTATCACCAAATAAAAAAATTAGCGTCAAAATAAAAATTTTGAACGCCAAACACCAAAAAAATAAAAATAAAATAAAAAATAAAAATTCAAAAAAAATAAAAATCCAAAGCCCTCTTCAGCCCCAACTCCTCGTATCACAGATTCATATTAGATTTTTTTGTCCCAAACCAAAACCTAATCTCTCAAGAGCAGCCTCTCTCTTCTGGATAGTTCTTTGATCTCTCATCTCTCTCTCTGGCGATCGGTGAGGCCGGTGGTCAAACTTGAGGCAAAACCTCCAGCTACGACACAGTTGTCACTCTTTCACTCTCTTGTACTCGTTCTTTCCTCTCTTCTTCGTCAACTCCTCTGGACTGGTTGCGGCTCCACACCGTTGAGGTCAGTCAAATCAAAGACTCACCTGTGGAAGATTCTGAAGTTAAGCAATAGACTCACCTGTTTGGTTCGGTGAGTCTTTTTATCATCATCATATATGTATCCATATAAGTAGAACCCAAAAAGCAATCGAAAATTCTCTCTCCCTTTTCTTCAATTGAGAGAAGCTCTGGAATTGTATTAGGTTTGTGTCCATGGACGATAATGTGGTGCAGCGGGTATTCCAAGAAGGGGGTCGAGATTTCTACCAACAACCCTCTAGTTCTTCATCTTCATCTTCAATCATCCAATCCCTACCTCTTCATGTGGTATGCAAAAATCAAAAATTTCTTTCGTTTAATCATTCTTGTACCTGTTATGCATCTGGGTTTCTTCAAGTTTTTGTAGATGTTTGATTCACTTTTTGTTTTCACTTGAAATCCGAATTTGTTCATCTGGGTTTGCTTGCATATGTACATATTAGTTGGAGAATACCCATTTGAAAATTTCTAAGAATTAGATGTAGATTCTTTATGTGTTGGTGGTATTTTGGTTCCAATGGTAGGAAATTAAATATGAGACTACTTTGAGAAATCGGTGTAAAATTGTTTAATTATAATTGGGTTATGTTGAACGCAATTTCATGATAATTGACACCCATCTCAGCATTATTAGAATTTAGGATCTCTTAAAAGTGAAGCAATTTTTTGAGATATACTGAAAGTATGTCTCTGATTTTGCTATTCTTTTATTGATTTTTAATTGCATTGAAGAATTCAAAATACCCATTTGAGAATTTCTGAGAATTAGGTGTGGATTTTCTTTGTATTGGTGGTATTTTGGTTTGAATGTAGGAAAAATTAAATGTGAGACATTTTTGAGAAATTGCTGTAGAATTGTTTGTCAATTAATTTTTTTTTTTATTTGGTTATGTTGAACGCAATTTCTTGATATTCAAGACCCATCTCAGGATTATTAGAATTTTGGTTCTATTGAAGGTGAAACACTTTTTTTGAGATATACTGAAAAGTAGTTTCTTTGCTTTTTTAGTGTTGTTTGAGTAATTCTGACATGAGTATAGTTTTTAACTTAATGAAATTCATGATATATCTTGTTTTAGTTTCATTCCCAATTTCCAAACTTCCACAGTGATAAAATTTAGAAGTTGAACTTATGAACCTCGTGCATATAGAATTGAAGTTTGGTTTCACTTTCCTTGAGCAAGTTGACTCAATTTTTATGCTAGTGTAAACTTTATCCATCTTGAAGGCTGAAATCCTTGCTCAAAGACTTCAGCTTGAATATCATGGATTTCTTCAAAATTTTATTATTAGCCAATAATTCTAAGATTATATTGATACTGTATATGAAATGGTCCCCTTAAGTCTTCAAAAAGTTTTTTCATTGGCCCTCTATTTCAAGAGCATTTTTACAATGTAGATGGGATGATCCCTTAAGTTTTTGAAAAATTCTTTTAGTACTCTAAGTTTTTACAATGCATAGGGAATGATCCTCAATTATTTCAAATATTATGTAATATCATCGATTGTGTTGATTTGATTTATAATATGTAAATGTCATTTGTTATTTTTTCAATTATAAAAATAACGAAAGTAGATTTTTATAGAGGTGTGAAAACCTTACCATTCTTTCAATAACCGATCTGTGCTGGAGAGGCCTCTTGTGAAATACATAATTGGGATGGGATGCAAAGGGGTTAACTGCAACCTATACCCATTTTGAATTATATAATCAATTCCTCCCCCATAGCCATCCTTACTCTGCTTTTATGTGCCGCAAACCCAGCCATAATCCATTTTGGAGTCTAATTGTTATATCTAATTTTGGTGTGTGGTGTGTGGTGTAAGTTTGTTTATCTGTGTGATGGGAAGTTTAGCAGTAACTATGCTGCTGCTGACTGTTTGAAATTCATTTGTCAGCACCACATGATTAGTGCATTTTTATGTACTGATATTGATTAGTTGTAATTTAACCATGCTAATTTGAAGTGGAGTTTATATAGATCATGTTAATTTTACTTGTGACTTAGTTATGCAGGTTGCAAAATGAGTGTTAGAAATAATAAGTCGTGGTCACAAAACTAACTTCTCTGATGGCTTCTATAATGTGTGGATTTTTGGTATGCACATTCTTTGCTGCTGTGGTGGCTTTGAGATTTCTGCTACATTAGACTTTCATGGTATTGTTGTCTTGATGAGGGGATGATTTCTAGAGTTTGATACATTGCTGAAAATTATAAATTCTCTATTATTAGATTGCATAAAAATTATAGATGCATTGTATGTCACTGATTATTCCTTGGTTAATTGGTGCTAGCATAGCTTAGTGTCTTCCAGATATGAATTACTCACATTGTTGCTGAACTTCCTGAGGAACATGGCGGGTTGGTGGTGTTCTTGCGGTTTCTCGTGCATTTGGAGATAAACTACTTAAGCCATATGTTGTAGCTGAACCTGAAATTCAGGTAATGCATCAAAATGCTTCTTGAATTTAAAAGCATATGTTGTTGGGCATGTGCAAAGACAAACTGAAACATGCATCAGGAAATTCAATTAAATAATGTGTGGATTTTTGGTATGCACATTCTTTGCTGCTGTGGTGGCTTTGAGATTTCTGCTACATTAGACTTTCATGGTATTGTTGTCTTGATGAGGGGATGATTTCTAGAGTTTGATACATTGCTGAAAATATAAATTCTCTATTATTAGATTGCATAAAAATTATAGATGCATTGTATGTCACTGATTATTCCTTGGTTAATTGGTGCTAGCATAGCTTAGTGTCTTCCAGATATGAATTACTCACATTGTTGCTGAACTTCCTGAGGAACATGGCGGGTTGGTGGTGTTCTTGCGGTTTCTCGTGCATTTGGAGATAAACTACTTAAGCCATATGTTGTAGCTGAACCTGAAATTCAGGTAATGCATCAAAATGCTTCTTGAATTTAAAAGCATATGTTGTTGGGCATGTGCAAAGACAAACTGAAACATGCATCAGGAAATTCAAATTAATTAGGTTTTTTTTTTTTAATTAAAAAAAAGAAGAAGAAAAAAAAAGTCTTAAAATAATGTGTTAAGGTAAGTAACGATGGTTGACTTGATGTGAAAGATATTCTGTTTCTTCAAATCAGTTGACCTCCAGGAGCATTATCTGATTTCCTACTTAATTTACTACTAAATACTAATCAGGTAATCAAGTACTGAAAATTAAATATCGGGGCATTTACACACAAGATTTAATTTGTTATACTCCATCAAGTCTTAACTAAGATTTTTTGGACCTTCAAGTCCTATTAAATTTTTAATAGTCGGAATTGCCTTTCAAACAATTGTTCATTATTTATTATTACCTATAAAGGAACATAATGATTTGACATCTATTTTGATTTTCAAAACTTTAAAACGTCAACTTTCAAATTGAAAAAACTAAAAGAAAAAAATTATGTGCAAAAAAAAAAAAAAAAAAAAAAAAAAAAAAAATTTTGAAAAAAATAAATTTTTTTTTTTTTTTTTTTTTTTTTGTGCAAAATTAAAAATTTTGTATCTACAAAAGAGCATGATGAATCTCTCTCTCTCTCTCTCTCTCTCCAAGCTTTTGGAGGAACTCAAAGGGAAAAGCTTTCTGAGCAAAATAAGCTTCATGTTTATATCCTCACATAATCTTGTTTCCTCTTGCCCCTAAATTGTACAACTCTGCTTATTTTATACTCTTCTTTTGCAAAGAACACTACTCCTTATATGATTTATTGTGCCATGAAACTCTATGCTACATTTTATTAATCTTCATATTAAAGTAGAATCTATAGTTGCAATAGTATGCCTCAAGTTTTGCTTCTTTGTGAATTATGCTCTTTTTTTCCCCCCCTCATAAAAGTTTTCTTAATGAACAGGTTATGGGCCAGCTGGGTATGCTTTATTTGTAGCAGTGTATGCTAGCTTAGAAGTAAGAACTTGCCTTCTCTCTAAAGCATAATATGTTTACAAGGCTTCATTAATCTGTCACTAACATCCATCATGTCATGCTTTAGGAGGTTCATGTTAAAAATAGTAAATGCTGTGTCTTTGTTTCTCATATCACAAGCTAAAAACAGTTGAATGAATTTCATTTATCATTTTATTTCAAGTCACAAATTCTCAGCAGATCTGCATATGAACGTGAGAATTATCTTAAATTTCTATAAATAGTCCCATTGATCATAAACAAGATCCAACATGTGCAGAGTTCCATTATAATTCATATATGATTTTTTTTTTTTTTTAATGCAACTTTACTGACACTTTGACTAATATGTTGTCCTAGATCCTTGCAATACCAGCTATCCCGTTAACCATGTCAGCTGGTCTGCTATTTGGTTCTATTATTGGCACTATCATTGTCTCTATTAGTGGAGCGGTAAGTTGGAAGTTTTGCCAGTATGAAAGAACAAATTTTAAGGAAATGGGGTGTATTTGAACTTGTATCTTCTTACCCTTTCAAGTGGCTGCAAGTGTTGCCTTCCTAATTGCCCGATATTTTGCCCGTGATCGTATTCTTAAATTGGTGGAAGGAAACAAGAAATTTCTTGTGATTGACAAGGCAATTGGAGAAAATGGTTTTAGAGTTGTTACGCTTCTTCGTTTGAGCCCTTTGCTTCCTTTCTCTCTTGGAAATTATTTATATGGACTTACATCAGTGAAGTTTGTTCCATATGTGTTTGGAAGGTTTGCTTCTTGTATATATTTATGGGAAAGAGCAAAAAAAAAAATTGTTCGGATCAAATCTTCAAATTTGTATGGAGGCAACCACGATGATCTTTAAATTTGTTGATGTATTAAAGTTTCTTGATCATTTCTTAATACCTCAAGGAATATTTTTGTCCTTGAGTCATTGATTTTTGTACTTATGTGAAGTTTCATTTGTCATGCAGACAAGAAATGCAACAGGATTAGTTGCTCCAGCTATTGCCGTCAATTTAGGTGCCTTAACATATACATTGGGCACCCTCGTCCCTGTGATAGGAGCAAGTGGATTTGCTACAGCTGCAGTTGCAACTGTTGTAGGAACTGTTGTCGGTAGTTTTAGATAATCTCTTAATAGTTATCGATATGTCTAGAAAGTTAGATATGCATAGTATTGGGTGGTTTAAACTCTTTGGACAGTTTAGAACTTAAGGATATAGTTTTTGAATGTTTAGAATGTATAGACAATTGTTGAATGTTTATAATTTATAGATATAGTTTCTTTTTGATGTTTCAAACAATATTTTGGTAGTTGATTGATATTTTGTGATGCTTGTTTGTAATATTTGTTAAATTGTACAAAATTGGTCAAATAGAACCTATTGAATTTAAAAATAAAAAAATTGCATATTCTACGGTAGGCATAGTAAGTTGTCGCATTACATATTTTACGGCGCATAATCAGCATCGTTATTTGTCTTACCAATTAACAACATGCAAAAGTAGTCGTAGAAAAAGTAATAACGATGCACAAAATCTGTCATTAAACAGTTTTTAACAACGTATTATAGCATGTCGTAGAAAAAGTAACAACGACGCACAAAATTTGCCGTTAAATAGTTTTTAACGGCGTACGAAGTATGTCATTGAAAGTGAATCACTTTCCATGACTTGTCATAATATGACGCGCGCTGCACGTCGTAGAAAAGTTTTTACGGCATACATTACGCGCCGTAAAAATCCTTTTTTGTTGTAGTGAGTGAACCACTATTTGGTCTCTTGAAGAAAGGAAAGAAATTCTAATGGGATGACCGATGCCAGTTTGCTTTTGAGCAGATCAAGTAGTACCTCTAAAACCCGCTTGTGTTGTCGTTGCCAGAGCCAGGGAAGCCTTGATTCTGTATCTGTCAGTAACGGACACAACAATGGGATGTATGCTTGCTCAAGAATATGAAGATAGGGTGGAGAAAGCCATCTACTATTTGAGCAAGAAAATGCTGGACTATGAGACCCGTTACACCCCGCTGGAGAAGGCTTGCTTAGCCTTGGTATGGGCTACCAGGAAGTTGAGGCACTACTTGTTAGCTCACTCCGTAATTCTGGTTTCGAGATTAGATCTCATTAAATATCTTTTTGAGAAACCAACGCTTATGGGTAGGCTAGCCCGTTGGTTGCTTCTCCTCTTCGAATTTGATCTGAAGTATGTCACTCGCAAGTTTGTCAAGGGGAGAGCGGTAGTTGAGTTCCTAGCAGATCACCCAATGGAAGGGAATGAAACGGTAGAATACCTATTCCTAAATCGAGGAAGAGATTTGGACAATGCATTTTGACGAAGCGTCTAACCAATATGGTTATAGGATAGGAGTGTTGATGATAGCACCCGACAATTCTCATATACTTTTAGCCTTCAAACTTTGGTTCAAGGTATCTAACAACGAAGCAGAATACGAGGCGTGTATCGCTGGTTTGGAAGCCCCCCTGGAATTAGGGGCAAAAAGGTTGGACGTCGTCGGGGCCTCGAACCTAGTTGTGTCTCAAGTAAAGGGAGACTGGAAGCTCAAAGAAGAAAAGATGAAGATCTATCACCCGACCCTGGACGTTCTGATTCCTAGGTTCGAGAAACTGACCTTCACGCATCTACTAAGAAAGAACAACAGGTTCGCTGATGCTTTATGAACTCTATCTTCTATGATAGACATCTCGTTGGGAGTTCGGATGCGTCCGATCATCATTGAATAGAGATATACGCCGGCCTACGAGATTATCGCCGCAATAGATTAAGTGTAAGATCAAAACCCCTGGTATTATGATATTTGGAACTTCTTGGAAAATGAGGTTTATCCACCAGGGGCAAATGCCAAAGATAAGAGGGCAATATTGTGGATGGTTGCTCAATTTATCATCTGCAAGGGTAAGTTGTATAAGAGAGGTCATCTGGGAATGCACAAGTTATGTGTCGACACAGAGGAATCGAAGCGCCTAATGGAGGCCATCCATGGAGGAGAGTGTGAAGCACACATGAGCGGAGTAATGTTAGCCCGGAAGATTCTCAGGCAAGATTACTACTGGTCTACCATGGAGGAGGATTGTATTGGCTTTGTTCGGTGATGCCACAAATGCCAAATCCATGCCAATCACATGAATATCCCGTCATCGAAGCTGTACAACATGACTTCACAATGGCCTTTCTCAGTCTGGGGAATTGACGCCATCGGGGCAGTTACACTGAAAGGGTCAAATAGGCATGAGTACATTCTAGTGGCAATTGATTATTTCACGAAGTGGGTAGGAGCTCAGTCTTATGCAGTGTTGAAAGCCGCGCATGTGGCTAAGTTCATCCAAAACAGCATCATTTGCTGTTATGGAGTCCCGAATGAGATCATTTCAAACAATGGTTCCCATTTCAAGAAAGAAATGATCGACTTGTTGGAGAAATACAATGTGGCTTTTCATAACTTATCTACATATTAGCCGCAAACCAACGGAGCTGTTGAGGCCGCCAACAAGAACATCAAGCACATTTTGCAGAAAATGATTGAGACATATAGGGACTGGCTAGACAAATTTCCATTTACTCTATAGGGCTACAGAACTTCAATTCGGACATCTACTGGGGCAACTCCGTACTCTCTTGTTTATAGGATGGAAGCTGTTCTGCCGATCGAAGTAGAAGTTCCATCGCTGCGGGTTATGGCTGAGTGTCAAATAGCCAAGGCGGATTGGCAACAGAGTAAGTTCGAAGAATTGATATTGTTCAATGAGAGAAGGCTGAAAGCACTATACCATGTTTAGGGTTATCAAAGCAGGATTGCCAGGGATTTTAACAAGAAAGTTAAGTCTCGGAATCTTAAAGAAGGGAATTTGGTATTGAAGGACAACTGAGCTCTCATCTATGACCCTAGGGGCAAGTTCAGACCCAATTGGACTAGTTCTTACATTATCAAAACTATTTGGTCGGGTGGAGCTGTTATTCTCATGGACTTGGATGGCCTAGAATTTTCCCAACCAATCAACATGGACAAGTTGAAAAAATATTACCCTTGAGAGGCTCGCTAGGCCGAAAACCCAAAGGGCAACCTAGGCAAAAGTTAGAGCACAAAAAATTAAAAAAAATAAAAACTGAGCTCGCAAGGTTGAAAACCCAGAAATGGAGGCCTTGGAAAAAGTTAAAGCGTAAAAGGAGAGAGTTAATACTCGAGTAAACTCGAGCCGAACTACATAAAGTCTGATTCCCATCTTCGGGATACGTAGGCAATTTCATTCTGAAGCTCGACTGTAAACACCTTCAAATCAACTGTGTCTATGTGTTTGATCAAGGCATCTTTGTCTGTTCATTATTTGAAAGTTCGGTTGTGATCCTTACTCTGAGTGAAGAGCTGACTACAGTGCTGAGTAGTGATATTCAGTCAAGGGGCAATTTTTCATTTATGGATTCGGGGTTCGTATATCTCGAGGATAGATTCCATGTGTGTCAAGTTGTGATCCTTATCGAAAATAGTTTTGAAAAGTTTTAATAAAAGTTGATTTTGTTCAAATTAATCTTTTTACAACTTAGACCATTTTTTAACCGAAAGAAAAATTTTCAGTGCCTACAACTTCAATTTCATTGATTTCAATACAAAGTTCGCCAACTCTCGATACAAATTAAAGTTGCTTTTATTACATTTAAAAAGAAAACTTGAAAAGTAAGATCAATGCAATCAACTTGGGACATAGCTGAGTTCGGTGTTCCTGCACCCCCCACTTGTGCTTGTGGAAGCTTCTGAAGCTAAAGTGGGCCCGGATTGCGCCTCATCTTCAAGCCAAGTCGAGCACTTACCAGAAAGTGTGCAATTAAAACTAGGGGCAGGAGCTAGAAGCTCTCTCGTCCTCCATGCAGTGGGATATCTAGCCAATTGTGAACCTCGGATGGGGAACGAAGCCAAGTACTTTACCCCTTCTTCTGGGCAAGTCTAGTCGTGTCCGAACTGACGCCTGAACGGAAACGAAAAGTAGATTACATAGTGTGTCAAGCCAACCAGCTGAACGCTAGGTTGCCGAGTCATGTTGTAGCTCATCTCAGGCAGATCAAACCAGGGGCAACGCCAAGCAATGTCAACAGCAGACCTGTTACACATTCAATGACACCACCATCCCTCGTTCGGGAAATCCACTAGCCATTGGCGAAAGAAATAGCCCCAGGCTAAATATACATGGCAAGAATCAACTACCTTCAACCTGTCCATGAGCCATATCTGGGGAGGGATGAAAGAAAAGAGAGATTAAAGAATAGAGAGGTGTATGATTGAGAGAAAAAGTGAGAAAAGGGCTTTGAGAGAAAAACAGAGCATGAGTACCGAGTGATGTGAGAAACACGTATGAGAAGGGTGGGAAACATTACCTGAAGAAGTAGGGGACTTCCCGCGAATTTGGTTGTCTCTCACCGATGAAAGGCGTCTAAGCCCATCAGATTCTCGGCCAATGCCAAACCAATGCAACTCTTGCCCTCTTTCAAGCCTTGGGCTACTTCAACTAGCCGGATACTAGACCAACCAAAACTAGGGCAAGAAGAAAGTGTGCTAGAATACACAAACAAAGGGCATGTTGGCAAAAACCCCGCCAAAGAAGATCGCCTCGGTCACTGGTGTCAGAAAATCAATGAATCAAACTGGGGATGTCCAACTCTCCTTTGTGAACCAAGGATCGAGCCTCATGTAAAGTGAGCCTACACATCCTTCCCAAAGCTTGGATGTGACTAAAACGGGGTTGAGGCAAGATTTCCTCATCGCACCGGGACTCCATTAGCACTTGAAATTCTTTGATTGTCGGGCATATCTCTTGTTCCCCGAAGCTAAAGGCGTGTGTAATCGGGTTCCAACATCTAGCCAGTGTGAAGAAACGGAAAACAAAGCGGAGAAAAACTCAGTAGGAATAGTGCATTTATGCCAAAACCCCATAAATTCAGCTTTTACGAGCCATCTGAAGTTGCAATTCAATTCGAGAGTGTTTCGGCAAAGAATGGCTCCATTTGTGAAGAATTTGCAGCTGAAATAAAGAAACTATGAGGTCCAAACCTTTTGTAGAATATAAGGCAGTGAATGGAAGCCAGGTGTCAACATTTTGGAGGTTCCTCGCATTGATGGCCAACCGGCCATTGGTGATGGCCAACATACCACTTTGGTGGCCAACCGGCCACCACTAATGGCCGACGGCCTCTATTCATGGTCGACATCCTCCCACTCTATCCTACTGTCCGTCTTATGCTGGAAAGTGCTAGTAGCATGAGCCTTGTTTTGTTCTTTGTGTGTTTTGGAGTCTTGTTTTGAGTC